TTCTGAACTGAGTCCTTTCAAGTCTGTGACAGCAATAGCATAAAAGTTTGTGTTCCAAAGCACACCTCTTGATGCCAAAACACTGCACTGCAAATTATATTTGCTTCCAATCAGTATACAAGCTCTGTGTGTAAGCACAGCTGTACTCACCAGCAGTTCACACATGTGGGGAACAAAGCAAGATCAAGATCAGAGGAGACTTAAAACTACTGTTTAGCAATCAATAAAAATTCCATAGGATGCACCCCTTGTGTGCACCAGTTCCCAGCTTAGCAGATAAGCAAATGGGACTAGTATAGGATATTTAACTATAACAGAAACTAAAGACACTGGTGAAAAAAAGTGTACCTGGCCTAAGGCTTCTTTTAGGCTGAGAAAGTTGGGGCTGTTCAGCCTGGAGAAGAGAAGGCTGCGTGGAGACCTCATAGCAGCCTTCCAGTATCTGAAGGGGGCCTACAAGGATGCTGGAGAGGGACACTTCACTAGGGACTGTAGTGATAGGACAAGGGGTAATGGGTTAAAACTTAAACAGGGGAAGTTTATATTGGATATAAGGAGGAAGTTCTTTACTGTAAGGGTGGTGGTGAGGCACTGGAATGGGTTGCCCAGGGAAGCTGTGAATGCTCCATCCCTGGCGATGCTCAAGGCCAAGTTGGACAGAGCCTTGGGTGACATGGCTTAGTGTGAGATGTCCCTGCCCATGGCAGGGGGGTTGGAACTAGATGATCTTAAGATCCTTTCCAACCCTAACTATTCTATGATTCTCTGATTCTCTGTCACCTACCTCAAAACCGATTTTCAAGACTAGTTTATTCAGACAGCACCTGGAAGAATCCTGCACACAATTTAGGACATATCTTGATAATGGGCAATAACTGGTTTGCTTACCTTATTTTTCAATAGGACAAGAGGTCGCCAGCCCACCCTTCCTGTCCACTTGTTACATAACATTAGCAGGCAACTACATGCAAGAGAAATGAGTTTGAAATAGCAACAACTGAGAGTACCTGTTTCACAATGCTGCTTAGGTAACAGCAAAGAAGTATGAGATTTTCTTTCATATTTTTCTTTTTTCTTTGAATTTTTCTTTTTGTACTTTCTGCAAGTTGAATGAAATTTACCACTTAGAAAATAATTGCTAGTTAATAAACAAAAACAAAACAAAAAAAAACAGAAAACAAACAAAAACCACCAAAAAAACATACACAACAAATTTATATACTTCAAATTTTTCTACACACAAAAATGAGCAAGTTAAAGCAAACCTTGGCAATGACTCAGGTTCAGTCTAAAGCCTCTCATAAAAGTTACACTTGTTATTCTGACTTCCTTTTGTAAACTTAGCTTCTTTCTAGTGTAAAGTTTCACACAGCCATTTACTGAGGGATCCTGGATGCCCACAACTTGTATTATACACCTCTTCCCATCACATCTACAGCAATTCGTTTGCTAAACTGTTAGTGGCTATCAAAAACATTAATACGTAAACTATTCAGATCAAAAGCACTCTGACCTGATTACTCAATTCATAGGCTACAGTAGTTAGTTAACTGAGCTTACATTTTAATAAGAAACATCTTTTTCCAGTATAAAATTCCTGACTTTCAGTATATTTTGTTGTGTCTATTCAAAGCTCTAAGTCTTTGCCAATGTCCATTCAAGATCACTGGAAGCAAAATATAGGGCAATTTTTATATGCCTAGATGGAAGACAAAAGTCAGTCCTACTGCAGGAGGCCAAAAGGAAAGTCCATAGCTCTCCACTGAGGAAACCACTCTAAGCACTCCCAAGGAATATTATGCAACACAGTTTGGATGGAGCCAGAAGATGTGCAGTGCTATGAATTCAGGAGCCATTTCCTCAAATAGGCGAAGGGTTGAGATAGCAAGAGCAAAACCCCAATCTAATCCCTAAAGCTTCTACCTTTGATAGCTCGGGAATACACTGGATAGAGCCCACATTAAGGGTCCTTCCTATCAAGAAGGTGCTGCATTAGAAAACACAACTAAATGAAAACCCATGAGATGCTTGCTGGTGTAGCTAAGCTATCTTCAGCAACATCTTTTGATGCAGGTCAGCTTTAGCCAGGAGCAACAGCCAGCTATGCATACTGTTAGCAAAGCTCCAGAAGGAAAGATGGCAAACCATCCCTTTGGATTTTGATTGCTGATATTACACGAGTTGTGAAAAAGCAAGAGGATGAAAAATATAATGCCCAATCTGTAGAACTTACAAGAAGTTTTGTAATTAAGAGATCAGTGTTAAAAATGCTTCCAATCCTAGATGTGCAGTCTACACAGTCAATATCATACTCAAATCGCACAGGGGCTGCAGCAAGTTGTTGTAAAAATTAACTTGCAAAACTCTCAAGTATACAAAGTGTTTCAAGAATGGAATAAAAAGGCAGAAGAGGCTAACAGGTAGAAGGTATGTAAATAAGTATGAATTGGTAAAGCCCAAGAGATGGGGGGGAATTTCTACTCTATTTAACTCCAATATATCTCTGCATTCATTCACAGAGAAACAAGGTCTGAAAAGGGACAGGGACAGAGAGCACGAGCAGTTATAAGGATGCTCAGAACATCCTTACTGTCACATGGAGGCAGTCTTAACACCATAAAGTAGAAAGATGTCGCAAAGAGGAAAAAGCTATCTTCAAAACTAGCCCAAAATTAGGTACACTTCAGCCACTATCAATTTATAGTGACTAACAAGACCAAGTTCTGTTTCCAGAAGCAACATTCAGAGACTGTGTGGTACTCAGTGAAAGGTGCATATCCATTCATGCCCCATGGATTCCTATGCTGCACTACCTCTGCTTCCAGTCTTTTCTGAAGCATCACTAGCTGCCCAAGTTGAAGGTGGTCTCACAGTTCATAATGTACACATTTATGGAGCATGAACACCTTGGAGCCTGTGGGAGTGCTGAAATCTAAAAGCATCTATCATATAGTAACAGCTACATTTCCTGTGCATTTATGAGTCTGAAGTACAGCACCAGTGTGGCTGCAAGTCAGCTGAATGGGGAAAAAAGAAATCACACAGTAATATTTTAACTGTTTCCAAATACATAATTCTTCACATGCCATCAGCAGTATATGTAAAAGACAAAAGAAATGCCACACTCAGGTCAGGCCCTGTAGTTCAGTGTCTTGTCTTCGGTACTGGAAAGCAGCAGATATGTATAAAAACCAAAACAAAAAAAAGCATGCAAGAAACTCAATAGCTGTTGAAAACATATCCCACAAGGAAAGCATCTCAATTGCTTATGCCATCAGCACAAGTGTTTTTTTTTTCCTTCCCCCATTTCTTCTATATATTCCTTCTCTCCACCTGTTCTTTTCCTTCTCTTCAAGGCCTCCACATCCTCTAAGGGAGCAGAGAAAAAACAGCTTGTCTCATGATGTCTTCTTCCAGCAGATGTAAAAGAAGCAGACAGGACGGAGGGGTGCCATGTGCTTGTTTGTACTGCTGTCCAACGCAAGAGGGACAGGGACCTGCCCAAGCGAGTCCAGGGGAGGCCACAAAGATGCTCTGAGGGCTGAAGCACCTCTGCAATGGATACAGGCTGAGAGAGCTAGGCTTGTTCAGCCTGAGGAAAACAAAGCTCATTGGAGACCTTGTAACAGTCTTCCAATACTTAAAGGAGGCCTACAAGAAAGCTTAACAGACTTTTACAAGGCCATGTAGTGACAAGAGAAAAGGAATGGCTTTAAACTGACAGAAGGAAGATTTAGATTAGACATTAGGAAGAAATTCTTCCCTGCGAGGGTGCTGAGGCCCTGGCACAGGTTGCCCAGAGAAGCTGTGGCTGCCCCATCCCCAGCAGTGTTCAAGGCCAGGTTGGATGGGGCTTGGAGCAACCTGGTCTAGTGGAAAGCACCCCTGCCCATGGCAAGGGTTTGGAACTGGATGAGCGTTAAGGTCCTTTACGACTCAAACCATTCTATGATTCTAGGAGGATTATTCCACTCTAAGTCAGCCTTGCTGAGGATTTACCATTTAGTTTCCAGTATTGCCCTAGAAGGAACCAGAGCTAGCCAGAAGAAAGCTGTAGCTCTGAAAGGCTATGGCCCAGATGGGCACAGAACTTTTTTGACCTCTACTTCTAGAGGAACAAACAAAATTATTAAGGACTGCTAGGAATGCAGGATGAGCTACTGTCACATGTATGGCTTCGACACACTTCTTTAAGCAAAGTTTATATTTAGGGAACACAAACACAACTCTCTGCTTGAAACATGTATGAGATGACATTTTATTATCATGCGCAATTTGTATCATTCACAGCTTACTGGTCTGTAGTCCCAGAATGTGGTGGATATGTACAGAAGCAAACTTAAACGATTTTGCATTGACAGTGAAAATAAATCACATTTTAATGTTAAATCTCACTGTTCATTGCATCTCAGTAGACTGAAGGTATAGAATAAACAATACTAATTCTCATATATTGAGAGCTCAAAGGTCTTCCCATCCACATTTCCTGACTTAAATCTTAAGCACCTGTATTTAAGATGAAGTCAAATAACCACAAAGCAACAACAAAATAAGCAAGGGAGGAAGGAAAGGGGAGAGAAAAGTACACAGCTGAAACAACCACAGGTTTCAAACCTGCAGATATGCTGCTCTTATTCCAACCCAGCAGCCTCTGAAAAGAAATGCACAGTATAACCAATAACAGTGTAGTTTTATATTTCTTTATATTTCAACTCGTACTTTAGCTCTTTTTTTAAATATGTGGAAAGAAAACTAACAGAACCAATATTTACTTACATTTAGCCAGTTACTATTGCACTAGCTTCTTGAATTACAAACAGGTTCAGCATTCTAGTCGTTAACGATACTTATTCCAATGATGTTTCTTGTGTAGAAAAGTAATGAAATAATCAGAAAAGAACAGTGAAGATAACTGAGTAGCTAAGAATAATGTGGTTTAGTTTGCACATATTAACAACACTTTTTGCATATTTTTATCACAGCTTTGTTGTTTTGCTGGTTTTTTTATGGCAAAACAAGACAAGTTGTTTCACAGAAGGTTTATAAGGGAATAGTGCCACAGCCTTAAAGTACGTACTTCAGGGAGGTTTCACCACTCTGCATCTCCAATGGCTTTTGAAAAAATGTGGTCTTTACCCCCAAAGGACATCACTCCATCTTTTAAGTAGAACTTCCATTTGTTCTTACTTCGATGTATCTGAAGGAAAAAAAATAAATCAATAACCCCACCCCGCTCCAAAATACTATCTTAGACCATCCATTAAAGAGAGTGTTTTAAGCACAACCTGGTTTACAAACCTTGATTTTCTTTTAAAATCCTGATAGCCCAAAACATGCGAACCACTGTCACTGAACACACAAGGGAACAACCTCCTGAATCTTAGCATCTCCCCAGCTCCTGAAGCAAAGGGAGCTGTGTGACAGGAAACAAAGACAATAATGGAGCAATTTCACGAGTTCATCAATCCCAAAATATACTGCATCCTGCAAACAAGTATGGCTGAACTAAACTGCAGTGGTTTTCTTCTCCAGTACACACTGCAAAGCAATACTGTGTGCATACAGACGTTAGGATGAGGCCAAAGGAGGAAAACATCACTTAAAAGCAAATACTGCCACGCAAACCCATAAGAAAGTGTTTGCATATTCCACTTCTTTTTAAAGGCCTGCAAAACAATCTATACTGAAGAAAATATTTAATGCTAAAAGGAGGAATTTTAAACACCCCTAGAAATTTTCTTGGATTCTAATCAGTCTATTTTCAAGTCCAGAAGGAAAAAGGAGGGATTAAAATAAGACAATTTTGCCAAATGCATTCTTTATATACTGAATTAAGCAGATTCAAAAACCTTGCATACTTTTTCAATGCAACACAAGCATTGAGGCTTCATTTCAGGTGCATCTTCTAAACACACCTCTCTAACCATGTTTTCCCAAATTACTCGTTTCAGTAACACTCTAATAATTTTCGTCGCACCTCACTACTTCCTAAAACACAGACACTGCTAAGGGAGGCCTAGGTGAACACACATAAAAAAATATCACTAGTCAGTTTTGAAAGAATAAAAGCCAAAAGTTCTCAAGCAAACTATAGACGTATCTGTCCATATTTGGTTCTAAATCAAACATGGACTTCGTTTTGTCAGCTTTTAAACTACTGACAAAGAAGTGTCCAAAACCAAATTAAATACTCCTAACTTCAATATGATCTTCAAGAGTTCAAAATAAGATTGAATTTTAAACATTAAAATGAAGGAGAACAAAATGGCCCTTAACTTCTTTGTTTTTCAAAGAACAGAATTCTGGTAGGAAAAACTCAGTGAGCACTTCAAAGACAAAGAAGTGTAAAAGAAAGTACATGCACTCCTCTGTTACCCATTTTGAAAGTCTTAATCCATGGCTGAAAACGCACTCATCCGTCGATGGTACTGTTGATACTACTTAAAAGTTAAGGAAATACGTAAGCTTCTGCTGCTTCCCAAATCTTTGTTTTGCAGGGTTTGGTCCCCTTTCCTGTAATAGGCCATTATAAACCCATTGATTATCCTCATTTCAGAAAACAGCAGGTAAGTCTTCAGCTTACTGTCAGCTGAGCACGTAATTTAAACACTCAGTTATTACAGCATCAGGTTTCCTTTAAATGGCACCAACAGTAGACCATGGACTTGCTGAAGATATTACTTAGAATAATTAAGGATCAAAAATAAAACTACACTTTACCTTGTCATACTGACAAACTATCAGATTGTCGGTGTCAAACAAGTCTGGAATGTCCTGTTCACTGATATCATCACCAGAATTTAAGGGGTCCTAGAGATTAAAATTGTATTTTATACATTCTTTCAGAATAGCACTGAATATACTTGACATTAAACACACCTAGAACAATAAAGGTTACCACTGGAAAAAATAAAGACCTAGAGGCTATGAAGACCATGTTGTACAGAGCTCATTCATAAGCACCTTTACATTCTCAGAAACACTCTAAACAAAAAACAGGTCAAAAAGCAAGACTACTAACAAAACTGACCCCAGTAACTGGAACACTACTAATCAACCAGCATTCATTTTAAGTCCAGATGCTAGGAGTTGGTTCTCTTGTGAATCTCCAGAATACAAAATTGCATATCTTCAAGGAAACCCTTTTCCTAGGAAATGTTATGTACTTGTATCACATTGTTCTCTATCTAATCCCATGGGTCCTTCAGAAGGGAAAGAAACCTAGATTTGTATCCAGGTCTTACTTAATTAAAAAGCAGAACTCCATCCCATTGAGGCCAGCATTTTACTATTGAACTTTAATTCTGGTGATTAAGTATTTTAATTCATCCAATAAACAACTGACTTCTCAAAGTCTCTTTCATTTGTCCACAGTCCTCAGAATGAGCTCAAATAATTTCTCATCAGTACCTTCTATCTCAAGAGGTATCTAAATTAACTATGCATTCTCTGCATTACACATAGCAGGAATCAGGCTGGGTCAAACAATTCAACAGTCAAGATGGATATCCTATCACACTGTGCATCACAAGGCTTAAAAGTAAATTACCTCCTCAACTATATCTATTTGGGGCTCTTCATTATCACCGCCACTGCTGCTAGACTCTGTGTCCGAAGTACTGCCACATTCTTCATCATCCTCATCATCCAGAACTTTTAGATCCTCTGATTCAACAACACCAATGAATGCGTTCTCCTCCCTATCTTTTGTAAGCGCTATTTCTTTCTTGGGAGAAGAATCACCAGTACCATCTAGCTGAATTATGCCTTCAATGTCACTGCAGATATCCTTCTCTGATCGTAAATTAGATTCCATCTGCACAGTGGATTCCACCTGACAGGAAGAAAACAAACCAGAGACAGCTTGTGAATTAACACCACATAGCTATCATTGTTTAAATGCCTCAAAGCCTGAGATTTTTGTTTAATAAAGTGACAAAATTGGGGCAATGAGAGTTTCAACTCCTGGCCTTCTCGTAAACCCTGAGTACATTTGCAAATCTTGTTCTTACACTTAAGCTTAAATGGAATCCATGCCATATATTCCTCAGCAATATAGAAAGACATTTTCCTAGACTTTTCTTTAAGCAGTATTCTACTCAAACAACTTAAGAAGTTGATAGAGCAGGCCTTTAGAATTTCTATTGCAAAGAAAACTCCAAAATCAACCCTCCAAAACGAAATAAACTACTTCCCCACCCCAAAAAATAGCATTTTTCATTTTTGAAATAGAAGTCAATATGAACTCATCCCTCTTCCTCAACTCAATCAAAATGCTTTGTTTAAATAAGAGATAAGCTGAGAGAGACAGTATTTCAGTACTACAAGTTACTGTTCATAAAAGTGCTAGAATTCCTAAACAGAGCATTCACAGGAGCATAAAAGGGCCTTCAGCTTTCAGCCATCTTCAGTTTCTCATTAAATTTTTATTGTAGCACTTAATTCTCCTCCACATACACTTTCTAGTTCAAGAAAGAAAAAAATAAAAAAAATCATACTTTGTTTTGACCTTCCATTCTTACTACAGACAGTCTTCATCATCCTGCCATCAAAGTTCAGATGAGAAACAGAACACGCTTTCAATTTACAGCCATTTGTCATTACCATTATTAAATTTGCATTTAATAAATTTGCTTCAATCACATCTAAGCACTACAACTCAAAGTCAGCAAACCAGCCTGAACTTCAAACATCTGCAAATAATTTCTGGAACAAAAATTAGATGAGGTCAAGAAAGTGGCTTATTAATTAAAATCATTCAAGTTTTTCTCACAGCTTGAGCCAAATTCTAGTTTGTTTGGGATTCAAACCCCCCCCCACCCCCACCAAGGAAATGCATTTCCTTCCAGCAAACTTTCACTTACCAAATCTGACTTTTCATACTTAATATGCATTCTCAATGCTCTTCACACAAGTTAAAACTAACTCCAGGTGAAATCACAAAGCAATTTGCCCACAACTGGGCAGTATCCATATGCAGATTGAGTGTCAGAATGACACAGGAGTTCTCAAAGGGTCATCCAGGTCTGCTCAGTCACACCAAAAAAAAACCCAACTCTAATCCCCCAAAATAGTCAGTAAGTCTAAGAATATATCAATCCACTCCACTTTTAGCATTTAGATTGACATTCTCATCCATCCCAGTATTTCAGCAACATTTGTGAACAATTCTTAATGTAAAACTGAACAGTCAGCTACTGCTATTCAAAACAAGCTCAAGATCACATGGAATGATAGAATGGTTAGGGTTGCAAGGGACCTTAAAGATCATTTGATTCCAACCCCTCTGTCACATTTCTCACAATACTTCAACCAACTATCTCCAATGGATGTATTTTCACCAGCTGAGAAATACAAGGTCTTACCTTGTCAGAGGAAGCAATTCTGTCCTGATTTTTCAGGACACTGCCATCATCCAAACTGTTGCCCATGATAATCAGGTCAATGATATCATCAGACACCTGCTGGTGCACTGACTCCTGAAGCTGAATTTCTAACTGCTCCTCCACATCCAACAGCACACTGCTCGAGTTGTTTGCCAGGGATTCAGAAGGAGAAAACCCGTTGGAGGATTCTGGAGTAAACACAGCTGTGTGATGACTCCCATGCTGGGATTTTTCTGTCGAGTCTGCACACCGATTTAATGCTGCATCAGTTGGAAGCTGCTGCTGACTCACAGAGGGCTGCTGGACCAAAGACGTATTGGCAGAGTTCTCCAGGTTGGTTTTTTCCATGACATTTGGCTGAAAAAAACATGGTGTGCTGGACAGCAGCGTCCTGGGGCTGCAGTATTTCAGCAGAAGATGCTGTGCATTTTTCACAAGTGACATCACTCACCTGTGCAACACTAGCAACATTGGCTTGCAGAACTGAAGGCTGCCCAAGGGGCTGATACATTTGCTGAACAGGATGATGGAGAATATTCACATCTCCTGTGGTCTGCGTGACCACAACAGGCACATTTACCTTATAAAGGTGCCCTACAAAGAGAAGAGTTACAAACTGCTTCAACAGGTTAAACTACAGGTTCATCCAGGTCACTGTCCTCTTACCACTAATTACCAATAGCAAACATGAAGGCAAATCATGAGAAACAGGATGCCTACAAAGCAGTACTTTCCCCAGATTTAATCCTTAGTTATTCTTATCAGTGTTAGAATTGAGATGCCAGAGCTAACTTCCCAATTTCATTTAATTATTCTTTTCCCCACACACATGCTTACACACAGTCACTCATATCAGCCTATAGGTCTCCAAACCTTAGTGATTATACCTAAAATAGGTATCCAGAGACATAAGATCTCATCAAAGAACAGCTGTTGGAAAGAAGAGTCAATCTATGACAGAAATAAGCGTGCCACTCATCACACCCTAAGCAGTTCAAGCACATTTTTGTACAAGCACTATAGGCAGTTTTATCAACAAAAGAGCGTAAGCAAAAAGGTTAATGAACGACTGGATTTTATTTGAATTAAAAAAATCAATTTGATTCCAAAGCACCAGAAGGGAAGATTGTCTCTCATATACGAAGACATACGTGTGCCCAGACTGACAAAGGAGCACATTTGCGAGCAACTGTAAACAAAATAAGGTGGCAGCCCATGTTAACTAACCTGCAAGTGTGCACAACTGAGACACTAATTAACCAACATTATTACTTCCCTATGCAGCAATCACAAACGACAAAAAAAGTGAAGGATAAATGGCTCCACCCACCTATACTTTAACTTCCTATTTACTGTTCTCAGCACCATCTTTCACTACCCACACACAGTCCACATGCTGTAACATTTTACATCTCCTTAATCTTACCAGATGCTGTCTGTAGCATCACTCCAGCTGGCACATGTACAGGATAAGCAATACCCGAAGGGTGAGTAAGAGTTGCACCTGCTTGTGAAGCACCCTAGATACACAAGAGCTTCATTAAGAAACAGTGAATACTTTATCTCCTAGGGCCCTAGATGTCACACATAACATAACCAGCTGAAACATCAACAAGGGCCTTTTTGTGATCATCTTTACTGAAGAGTTGCTTCAGACTTTTGAAACTCAGACATGTAAAGAGTATTCTATATTGATAGGATAATAACTTGTCCCAAGTATTTCCTATTTTCCAATTATCACATTTCCTTCTTGTTAAGAGAACACTTTCCTCTACTTCTTCGATGTACACACCATCCAGAAAAGTATTTTTCCAGTCAGAGCCACTTTATCCTAAGCTTATGCATTACTCCAAACAGCACAGGCTCCTTGCCTAGGCCTGTGAAGTCACTTCACATTCATTTTTAATCCTGGAAAGTGGAGTTGGATATACGTCTCCCTTTCAAACTAGCTGTTCCAGGGAATTCCAGTTTTTAAATCAGGAATCTTGCACATTACACAAACATCTTCTCTGTATTATATTTCAGCCTGGCCAGCTAGTTAGCTTGAGGCTCAGGAGGCCTCAGTAAACACATCAAGCTCTGACAGTTAACAGCCTCTCCCTAAAGAAATTTTGCCATGTCCAGAGTTTAGAACCTGTCAACTCTAAAAACACCCATCGTCTTCTGGGTGATTTCTATATCTCATGGATAATGCTGCTCACAGCTTCACTAGTACTAGCATATCCCAACCATGAATTATTGTTAACACCCAGTGATTAAAAAAAGGATCTATAGATGTGTATTTCCACTACTACACTTCCATCCTATGGGCTAAACACACACAGCCACATCTTCCAACACACTTCTGGCTGCACTGCTTGCAAAACCAACTGGTAGATATCCCATCCCTTTTTACTGCTCAAACAGAAGCAGCAAAGTTACAGCTCTCTCTATGCAGACTCCTAATTTTTGCATGGTTTTCAGAAAAAATAAGTAACTAAAAGGACCAGAAGCAACAACGAGTTTCCTTAGCCGTTTATTCTCTCTCAGCAGGACTCCTGTTCTCTTGCCATATTGGACACGTGAAATAATGAGAAATGCTACTTTTTCAGTCCCTAAACGCTGTTCTGAAGATCTATACATGGAAAATACTTAATATTTGCCTCCCCTTAAGCCTATTAACAACTTGGCAATCATTTAGAATTCAGATTAATCAAAATTGAATGAAAACATCACTACAGCTACATACCGGGTCTACTGCTGTAAAATGCTGAAAACCTCTGGCAGTTGGGATGACAAAAGAAGCTGTAAAACCAAAAAATATAAAAATGTTAAGTTTTCAGACACAGTTGATTTTTCAGTAATTTACAGCAAGGACTGCTGAAACTAAAGCAATTTGATTTCAGTTCACACTCATTAGATCAACAAACAAGCACATCGAGGTAAGGCTCTTAAATATACTTCCCTTAATGATGCTTCAAGCTTACGCTGTGCTTGAGGGAGGAAAAGATTATACCCTGAACTTACAAAACTTGTATTTTACTAAAAGCTGGTCTTGGAGATTTGTTTGTTTGACAAATATTTATTATAACTATTTGATCTGTTTAAGCTGCACTGTAAAAATTAAGCATGTCATTTCTACATGCTATCAATTACACGGATAGATGTGCAATACCACCATGTTAACATGACCAAGAACGCATATGTAAAATGTACTGCCTTGTAAATAAGTGGAAAGTATACGAGTATTTTTCTGCACTATATCAAATCCAATAGTGCTAATAGTAGGAACACTAGGGTGGGATTTTCTAAAGCACTCAATACTGACTTCAGTGAAGATAAACCAAAGGAAAAACTTTTCCAGGCTTCAAGAAGCAAACAACTGAGTAATCCTAACTACTCTGAAAATCCCTAGCCATGGCACATTAAAAAAAAAAAACAAACAAAACCAAACACAAAACAGCAAATAAGAAGTTCACTGGCTTCAACAGATTGTTTTGCCTTAGTATTGCTCTTCCAAAAACTAGGAGTAACAAAGTAAAGCTCATTAAATGTAAAGCCTCCAATAGCAAACAAACTCAAACATACACTCCCTTTAACCAGATGGAATAAGTAGAACATCTGTCTCCAAAACCAGCCCATTCAACTATAAAGACTGCAAAAGAAAAAAACAAAAAAAAACAACAAAAAACCCCACAAAACAAACAGATGAAGAGTCCCTGCGTAACCCTGAAGTGCACTACAACACAGGTTTTAATTAAATCATCTCATGAGTCTGTGTTTATTTGTCCTTACAGGGAGAAGAGCTAATGGCTCCTCACTGGGAGAAATCTCAGCTAAGCATTACAGTCTATCACAACATTACCACAGTGGTCAGCTGGACTTAATTGAGACTGATAGGCCCTGATGTGAGAGGCTGTGTGAAAGTCAAGTACTTCTCTGCAAAGGGAATACTGCTTTAGGAGAACTAACTGAGAGGCAAACAAAAAACACACTTTTCCGTTTGAGCAAGGGATTACATTTAAACAATGCAGAATATGATTAAACCCCAACACAACATCAGAGCTGCATGGCACAACTGTGCCATACAACCTCTGCATACATCATGCCATACATCAAAAGGGGAAGTGAAAGCTTAACCCTACTGGTACATTTGCAATTGAAGGGTTACACTTCTGGACTGCAGAAGTGGCTAAAACACTCTTCAAATTTTGCTACTGGAAATAAACAGGCGATTACAAGCATGTAGACAGGACATTAGTTTATCAAAGTTTAACTTGTCCTTTATTGGTAAAATTCTGCTTTCAAATAATTACCGTTCCCCATCATCCTAAACAAGGATACATAAGCATCATAAATCAAGATTATTCCAGAACTTTCGAGTCTTCCAAAAAGATTTCTGAATCACTAAGTGATTCTTAAATTGCATCTGCTGTAATCAACAACATCTAACCTGCTGAAGCCTGCAGAACACGGTGAAGATTCTGTGGCAACTGCAGGGTAAACCGTTGAGAATGGTGGCTATTTTTGAAGAAACCTTCTGTTGCTTTAGACTGCACCACCTTGGTTTCCCAGCGCTGCAGAAAGATTTTTATGAAGGTCAACAGACATCAGCTTTAAAAACAAAGCACAGCTAAAATTATCATCACATACTCCTGTTTTTTCCAGGAGTAAATTGACCAATTCTATCCAACAAACACAGTGACAACCACCACTGAATTCCGACTTCCAGTAGCCCAACACATCATTCACGGGATATTTGTAACTTTAAGTTAGGACAAAATATGCATGTTTTAGAGGGCAAACAAAAGGTCAGATGCACCATACCAAAAGAAAAAAATAAAATACACATCTTCTATTAATGCAGGGGAACCTGACAAACCTGCTTCAAGTCTTGGAGAACCCGTTCCTCTAAACCCTCCTCTGCAAAGAGTTCCTGCACACCTTCAATCACATCTTCAATAACAGACTTGTATAGTTTGGCCTGTGTTTAAGAAAATAAATTTTCAAGTTAAGATGAACATTAAGTCATTTGAAATGACAGCACCAATCTAATCTTGCTGTAAAAACTACTGTTACAAACTGAAGAACACAAACAGAGCAGTGTAATAAACTGAATATTCCCAAGTGCAAAGGCCTGCAAGACCATTCATTCTTTTAAATCCAACATCCCTGGAAAAATACTGGATTCAAGCCTCAAATTATTGGCTTCTGTGCTACAGTAATGCTTAAGAAAATCCTAGAAATATTACAAAAACAGTTGCTGTGCCATATTGTTTTGAAATAAAAAAGCACATCTCAAATGCCAGTTTAAAACTGTATCATTCTAGTGTCATCACACCTAACTTAAAGACCAACCAACACAAACTACTAACACTGAGATGTGCCAATTCTACCACAAGCACAATGTAAGCAACCTACAAGCAATTAGAGTCAGTTTACTTTTTTCTTTGTGGCAATAGTCTGATGCTGTACAGTAATTTAGCTATGGAAATTTTAATGCTCATTTTCAATACGTATCATTCATCTTATAATACAACAGGAGCCCAACTCATGTCAGTGATTAAATCCTGATCCTCTAGTCAGACCTGGACAACAGGTCTAGACATGAGCTAGAAGACTGACTCACTCAGATGCAAATGTAAAATAAGCTTTTAGCAGTTTAAACTGCTAAAGTTTAAACTGACTATCACTAACACCAGAACAGCCTACATAAGGTGAAAGATAAAGCTGAGATTTTCAGGACACCTCAGAAGTTAAGATTCCAGGATATTAATTTATATTTTCCTAACAATATCAAATTTACTGCTCTAAAGCTGTGCTAAACTGAAGATGATAAAAGCTTGTTTAAAAAAAAACAAAAACAAAACCAAAAAACCTGTAAGTTATTAAGAAGTAAAAGTTACACTGTTTACAAAAAACTTCCAGCATAACATAGCACTACTTTAAAATAACCACATTCATGTACGTTTTCTTATGGGAGCTTAGAGATCTCCAATTCTCCCACATTTCAGGACACTAGGAAGATAAGGAGAAAACAAGTAATTACTCTTGCACCACTACACTAAGTAGTGCTCACTAGTCTGAATGGCAAATGCGTTGCCTTCGTTACTAACCCAGAAGAGAAACCGAACTGAAATCTTTCAACAGGCCCATTCCTCTCTCCAGGACGGCCAAGTTATAGTTAGAACATCCATTGCGCTATATGAAACCTATACATAGCGATTGTACAATTCAAACACTACGTTTCCACATTAAGAGAGGAACGGTCACAGGGCAGATGTTACTGTACTCCAGCTTTCACACACACAGCTTTTATTGCCAGAACCAGGCCATCCACATTGGAACTGCCAGCACCCACAAACTCCAGTGGGATGGCAGGGAAAACAAAAAGCCAAAAGCAAGTCTTAAAGTGAACCCTCCAAGGCTTCCCTGGGATTACTGTCATCTGAAACATCCTCTCAAGTCCCCACTAAGGAAAGGCAGCAGAAGATGAACCCCGGAGGGGGCAAAAAGCCACCACCTTTCTCCTTGTCACCTCTAGGCTTGCACAGCATCCCTCCACGCCTGGAGCTACCCAGCACCTCTCACCAACACCTGCCACGATGCTTCTGCCTCCTACAAAACGCTTTTTTCAAAGCATCACCGCCTAAAAAATAACGCCTTGCAAAGGGAAAAACTGGAGGCTCCTCCTGGGCACCAGGGAGCAGGAGGCCACGGCCAGGATCCTAGCCCCAACCCCAGGACCCTGGCGCCAACCTCTCTCTCCCGCACGGAGAGGCAGCCAGACCCCACCGAGCCGTTCACAGCCCCTGAGCCCCGGGTACCCGCCGGCGCTGTCGGTACGGGACGGAGCTCAGCCTCACGGCAGCTCACCACAAGGTTAGCATGCGCCATGTTGCCGGCCACACGACTGACCGCCCTCTACCCGCCCTCCCGCCTTATGGCGCCGTTGCCACGGGAACGCGGCCTACCCACCGCCGGCTCCGCCCAGGCCCTCGTCGGCCTTTCTTCCTTCCTTCCTTCCCTTTGCTGTGCTGGTTGTTGTCCCCTCTGCCCTGAAACACCCCATGGTATCCGGGTGATGGTTACGAAACGCTGGTTTCTTCTTTCAGAGACTGAAGAGAGGGATCTGCCCCTGCACAGAGCTTAAGGCCGCCAAGGGGCCCGGTTTGTAGTTCAGGCCCTGAGCAATAGCCTGAAGCTTCAGCTTATGAGCATAGGGGAAAGGAGGCTTTGTTTGGAGAGCCAGTTACCCGTGGTGCCACAATACACCTAGGAAGGCTGGCTACAAAAGCATATTCTTTTGCTTTAATAAACTCTGAAGTCATTATTACCCCATAAACAGGAAGATAGCTGAAGCTACCAGTTAAGCAGCAGCAATCTGGTGCAACTACACAAATTACTGCTTACATTTGCAGCAATCTGTTCACGTTAATACAGAGATCTACCAATTTCGCAGTTGCTCATCTGGAAAAATGTTCATTAATCTCATGTGTAGGAGAATATACACTTTGGTCTTTATACACCTTCTGTACGTGGACTGGTGTTGCCATTATGATTCCGAGAACCTAGAAACACCATCTTTTCTTTTCCCTTCTTTTCCCTTTCAATTTTTAGATAGCTGTGTTGGTACAGTGCTATTTGGCATGTGGCAACTCACCCATTAAGCTTTAATTTTTAAGGCTGACTTATCCTAAAAAATGGAAAGACTGTAACGAAAATACTGACAGACCCTTAATTATATAGCTAGACTAACACCTACAACAACAACAACAACAAAGAAGCAACATCCATAATAATATTCACGAATGAGACAAATGCAATTTGCTATTGAACTAATTTTGCTCTGCAACAAAATTTGTTTAATGACACTGTCTGGGTCTTGAATTAAACGGCAGTTGCATATTCAGCTGTTCTGTATGCCCTGCATCATCGTGAGGAAAAGGCTTGCCCCTTGCGGGGCATACAGAACAGCTGAATATGAGCTGTAAGGCAAGCCTTTTCCTCATGTTACTTTGCTTACAGAATAATTTAAGTGATAAAACATTTATTTTTTAAAGCATGGTGCTTATTTGAAACTGCCTAGGATGGTGATCTGCCATGAGCATCGTTATTCTTCTCCTGTCTGGTGAGTCCTGTCATGTTAGCAGGGATGACTGCAGCCTTGAGGATCCCACTGGGCCCTGGAGGTTGCAGATGGTGATCCTGCAACTGGCTGCGACTTACTCATCAGGCAGATAAACCTGATGCTGAGCCATCTATCTGCCAGCACACTGCACAGCAGCTTCAGAAAGGTGGAAGTGCAGAAAGAAGATTTTATAAATCAGTTCCCTGCCTTCTACCACCCTTTGTTTATCTAGGGATTACAAAGTGCCTTAAATCAGTGCAATTTCTATGCCTAACTTCAAAAAGAAACAGAGGTCGGGGAGCTTGATAGCAGAGGACGTCTCAGCTGTCTCAGATAATGGTGGGGTTACTTTGGTTATGTCCACATTAAAACTTGCAGAGCAAAGCAAATGGTATTCACCTGCATTTCAGGTTGACTGCATGTCTCTGTATTTGCATATACCTAACACATCCCACCAGCACAAGGCACTGTGGATATATCCCATCTGTTATAAATGATATCTTTTGTATTGCCAGTGAATACCAAAACTCCTGTCACCAAGGTCAGCCTGTCAGCTCCCTTCATGCAAAGGACAACAGGCTAAGCCTCCTGATTGTACACAGCTATCTCTGCAGAGAAAGCAAACGCTGGGAGTGGGAATACAACTTTCCAAACTGCACAGGGAGGTTGCAGAGTGCAGTTCATGCTACACCAAGGCACATCTGCTTTCACCTGAGGTCTAGCAACATACTTTATATAATTTCTTTTACAAATTCCCAGAGAAGGTGTCTTTTCATCCAAGCATTGTGAGCAGTGTCAGCTGAGCAGCATGAGGAAGACTGGTGTACACTGAAAAAAATCAATCTTCTCTGAACAAGAAAAAAATATTCAAATATAGAACCATAGAATGGTAGGGACCTTAAAGCTCATCCAGTTCCAACCCACTGCCAGGGACAGGGATATCTTCCACTAGAGCAGGTTGCTCCAAGCCCTGTCCAACCTGACCTTGAACGCTGCCAGGGAGGGAGCAGCCACAGTTGTCTGTGAATAGCATTAATCATACTGACTGGCCAGCTTTGATACTGGTGATAACCTAGTATCAGTGTCCTGCAGTACAAAGTGCAGCCCTGTCGTGATTTTCATGCATATGGTTTCTGTTAAATATAACCCCGCTTTTAAGAGAAGAAACTGAGGCACAGACACACCAAATCTTTTGCCCAAGCTCATAAATGCCAGTTGGGAGCAGCATCCAGGTTTCATTAGACTTGGTTCTAATGAAAGTCCAGTCCAGCTCTCCCCATTGCAGTCTTTAACAGCTCACAAGAGTTTTCGAAGTCAACCTATGGAAAAGATTAGCATGCTGTTCAAACCCTCCTGATTTTTAGGGGTTTTGTCAGCATTTGGGATAGTGTTGTTTAAGGGCACCTCGAACATTCGTTTACTAGACAGGTTTTAATCTGTAATTATTTTTACTCCTCTTGGTACATGATGTCTAGAGAAGATTTATTTTTGGATGATGAACCTTTATTAATCATTAAAAATATATATATATAATAATTTACCGGTTTAGAAATGCCTTCCCTCTAGAAACGGAGCCCTCAGCAAACTCAGATGCTTGGTAACGAATGCCCTCTTCTGCTTAAATGCAGCATTGCTGCTGTAGAGAAGCTCGGCTGCTCAACCGCAGGACTGCAGAATTCTGTGTCAGGCATGCTTTACACATACCATCTTGCCCTTCTTTCCAAGTAAACGCGATCATTCTTAGGAGGAACCGGTTGCAGAATCCTGGCAGTCCTCATGGAAATGCCTTGACACGGGCGGAACTGTAATTTTATTTTAAAGGTATTCTCTAACATGCTCCCTTTGTTTTCAGC